AGGAGTAATACTAGTAACCAAAATAGTAATCTTAACAATAGTAACAATGGTAATGTCGATAATTTAAATAACGAGGAAAGAAATGAAAATAATGACGAAAACTTCACTGGGGGTGACAGACCGCAGGGCGGTTCAGATGGACAAAGAAGACGTCCAAAGCGTTTTACTAGGAGATTCTGGAGCAGGCGACCACGAAGACCACGAAGCGACACTGAGGGAAGCCAAAGTGGAGCTGATGGAGATGCTTCCGGTAATGACAATGCAGCAAATGCCCAAGAAAATCGTGAACAAAGACCTCGTCGTCCAAGGCGCCAAGGAACTGGAGTTTCTGGCTCTGGTTCTGGGTCTGGTTTTAGAGTCCGACGAATGGGTCGTGGTGGAGGCAGTGGAAGCGGTGGGGGTGGTGGTGGCGGCGGCGGTGGAAGACGTGGTCCACCCCGGGGAAATCGTGGATCAAACAGTCGAGATGACAAATCCCAGGCTTCCGATCGTAAAGGAGCTGCATCAGAAAGCGCAGCCCCACCTGTTCCTGCTTCAGGTTAATCAAGTTTCAATCGATTATCTTCAACTTTCATCATCAACAACAATTAATCAACAATTAATCAACATCACTCTTACTATTACCACCAGTCCCCTTTATCAACACCAATTTAGAGTTAACAATCAACATCAATTTTGAGTTAACAATCAACATCAATTGATTATACCAAAACTATTACAAGTTAAATTAACATCATCAATATTATTATTATAATTATCAATCATCAGGAAAAAAATTCAACATCAGCAACAATCAACTATAACAATTAACAGCACTCACAAAGACACACACATACACGGAAAACGATTCAATCAACTTCGAATCATGATTATGAAGATGAAACTTTGCAAAAATGGATTTAACTACAATTTACCATCGTTATTACTAACATCAACCATTTGGAAAATTGGACAATTTAATCCATCAATTGATTAAACCTAAATACAAAAAAAGGATTAATTACAAAGAGTATAACAAAAAGAAACAAAAAAATTTAGTTTAAATTGAGAGGGGATAAAATTAATTACTAAAAATGCTCTTTCATGTACAGCAGAATTTTTCATTTTCATAACTCAAGTCATGTGCGTTCATTTTTTTTTCAATAAATTTCTATTGCCCGAAAGTAACAACAATAGAATTGAATCTAATTGTAACCCTCTAGAAATCCATTAATCAGCTAATCCATCCAAATTTCCAATTCTCTTATTGGTTCTAACCGATAATCTTAATCTTTTAATCGGGAAACCGAAGGGATTTAACTCTAACAATCAATTTAAACTACATTTTGAGTGTATTTATGTTGATTAGAGTTTAATTTTCGAAAGGATTTTCAAATTTTTGGAATAATTTTTCCTTTGGTTTTCACTTTTCGTCTCAATCATCTGAGAAGTGTAACAATTGAAAGCATAAGGATCCAAGCGGAGTAAAATTTTACACGATTTAATTGCTTCACCCTGAAGGCTTAAAGGTTGCTGATTGGTCAGGTAAGGGATGACCACTTCAACTACTGACCACAAGGAGATACCTTCAACTTTGAGATAATCACAAAGTAATCCAATGGTTCCTAATAATTGACATTGAAATTTATACTCAAGGGTGTATTTGTATGGAGATGAATCGGTTTTCTGATAACTTTTGCTAAATTGTGACCTTAGAAATGATAAAAGTCGAGGGAAAATTTGTTCTAATGTCCGAGTTGTAAGGAAATCGCCACAACATTGACTCATAACAATTAGACATTGATAACTTTTGCTAAGTAGAATCAAATTATCGGTATTGAAACGTTTCAAGATTGGAGTCCACAATTTGTGTGCCAAGGGAAGGAGTTCATCTGGAAATTGGGAGAAATTAAAAAATTAATTCACTTGGAGAAAAGAATAGTAATTAACTAATTTCTAATTACCTTGCCATGGTTTTAATATTCGAAGTCCATTCATAATTATTTCCATCGTAATTATTTGAATATCTTTTGATTGATTGGAGAGTAAATGACAACATCTCTCAAGAATCTGAGTAAACAATTTAAAAGGAAAAGAAAAACAGATTAACTAAACAATTGGAAAATTGTTTCTACCATTCAATTAATTTCCGGATATTCACCTTAATTGTTATATTTATTTCCACAGGTAATTGTTTCTTTTCCTCTTCTTCTTCTTCTTCTTTACCTCCATCATTTAAATCATCAGGTGAATCATTATCATCATCATTTTCGGGTTCAAGTGAATTAACTATTCTCCTTGCTTTCAGATATTCATCTAATTGTTGGATAAATTTTTCTCGTCTCAAAGATTCATAATCAATATTATCAAATTGTTCCTGTTCATCTGTTGATATTGGAACAGTATTTTTCTCAATGAAACTAATCACTATTTTCAATAGGTTAACAAGTATATCACAATTTAAATTGTAAAAAATGTCCAAACTGGTCAGTATATTATCAATGGTCAGTTCGGTGTAAGGTAATATCTCCAGGCCGGTTAGATTGAGTATCGAATAGATAATTGGACAAACTTGACGATTTGATTGAAAGTTTTTCAGTTTGATACTTAAATGATTAAGAATGTAATCAATATTTTCAGTGATTAGAAGTTTAATTGAAGAGTAGTTGAAGATGTTTGCTAATCGTTGGAGAGTAATTAAAGCAGAATCAGCGATAATTGTTTTATCTGAACCAGTTGAAGCCAGGACAAGGTACAAACAATTAATCAGGACGATTGATTGTTTATTGGAACCAAATTTATCCGCAAAAATGGTTATTCCCTCCATTAAAAGGGTAATTGGTAAAGTTGATTGATCACATTGTTGATTGGATTGATTTAATTCAGTTAATATGGTCAACTGATTAACGTATTCATGGAATAGACTTTCTAAAATATTTGATTCGTTGAAACCTTGAATCGTGTAATTAGCGATGAAGATAATTGCTGGATCTTTGCAACCATCCGGTAAAATGGAATCAAAATAATCAATTAAACCATAATTGTTTGAATATTTTCCTAAAAGTGAGCAAATTTGTTTAATTGATTGTTCAACTAGTTGATCATCGAAATGTTTAAATCTTTTCATCGGATAATCTGTTGATGGTTTCCTTGAATCTATTGTATTTAAATCAATCATCTCAATTAATTTATATCCTTGGGTTGATTTTTTCTCGTTCAAATTGGCACAATTAATTAAACTAGTTATCATACGATGTTGACATGATTGTGTGGTAAGAAAGGTTGTTAATCCTTGAGGTCCAAGACAATTAAAGTAACCTTCAATTACTTTAAATTTGGTTATCTTTTCCTCTTCATTAATTGATTGTAATTCTCGGGTGATGGTTGTTAATTGTTGATATAATCGGTCTAATAGTGAATCTCGTAGAGATGGTTTGTTGATTAATATTTGAGATGAAAATTGTTCCAACCAAAGTTGAGATGATTCTTGTAAATCTGTATCACAATCAGTTACCATGATTAGTGAAACTTCAAGAAGAGTAATTAAAATTTCCTCTTTAACCTCAAGATCGGCAAAGATGTCAACCATTTCTTGACTGAAACTCAATAATTTCATCTTAATTAACGTTGATTGTTTGATTAGAAGAGTTTTAATTATCTTTTCAAAGACAACATCTAATTTTGAGCAACTCGATTGAAGCCAATCCTTGTTTCTATGGACAACGAATTCAGGACGTTTAACTTGAATTTCTTGAGACAATTCGTGGGTCAGAATTGCCTTAATTGTTGATTCCAAAGTTGAAAGACATTCAATATACAGTTTCTGTGGTAATTTATCATCACTTAGAATTATCTTCATCACTGCGATTGAGATTCCCGGTAAAAAAGAGGCCAAAATGTCAGCCGGTTTGTATCCTTCTCTCGGCGGTGTTAAGGTCAAGGGATAATCCAGTTTTCGAATCAAACAATTTAAACAAACAATCGACGTGATTTTAAGCTCTTTGAATTTTTCTTTAAGTCCAAGATTCAAGAAAACGTGAATAGAATGACCGATAATCGGATAAATTGAGGGTTTCGATAAAAACTCTAGAACCAAGTCTTCTGTCAGGTAGTCGATAATTACTTTGGCACAATGGATAACCCGAAGTTTAAGATCTTCACTAATTTTACATTCACCTGTTGAAAGAAAATCAAAATTGAAAGAACAATTAATGTTAAGTAATCAGTTTAGGTAAAGAATTGAAAACTAACCTCGGAATGAATTTGTTTCAACGTCGATTAAATTAAACAAAACTGCATAGAGTTCAAATAGTTCATCAAGTGAGTTAATTATTCCCTTTTGTAGCATCATAATCATACAATCAATTGTATTGATTAGTGTTCCTTCAGTCCTACAATTAAGACAAAAACAAAATAAAGAAGATCAAATATCTGAGAAGAAAATAGAAAACAATCATCTTACCATTTCTCTGGTTGGTAAAGGACCAAAGTCAAAGGTTTTCTGAAGATATTAGAAGGATTTTGTAAATTGGTCAAGCTAAACATTATTGTGATTAAAGGAAAAATATAAACAAACAATTAAAGTGACAATTTGATTTGGAAAAGTGTTCAGGTAAACTAAGCTACAGAAAAACAATTTCCAAGGTACAAAAATTGCGAAAATCAGGTTATTCTCAATCAATGAGGGTAATCCATGAGTCGGTGATTAGTTCACAGCTAATAGAGCAATTAAATTGGTAGAAAATATAGTTGTCAGATTAATGAATTCGAAAAAAAACACAATTAACTTGATTACGATGAAAATAAATCTCAACACATGTTGAGTTGTTTTCATATTCAAATGAAAGAAAATTGGAATTCGGAATCGAGCTCCATCTGTTGAGAAAAAAAGTCGAACGGTAAATAATTTGTTCTGAGAAAATTATTTACATTTGAGAAGATTATTATTTTTAATTCATTCCGAAGAGAATAATTTGAGTCTCTTAATTGATTTAAATTTTTGTTGAAATTAACTGAGAAATAGATTCAGACAAAAAGCTTCAGTTTGATCTCAAGTAACTGATTAATTGTGATCTTTAGGTGTAGATAATTGTCTTGAAATGGGATAATGCAACAATTTAATTAGTTTAGTAAATTCTTTAAAGGTTCCTGACTGTAAATATGAACTAATTACCAGAGTAAAAGTTTAAACTTGTAATCAAAGTTTATTTACAATAAGAATCAGAATTGGAAAACCTTGAGAACCTTGAAAGGTTATGATTAATGAACAACAATCAAGAATGATGATGATGATCATGATCATCATCTAGTGATTAAGATTTTTAACAAAGTTGCCAAGAAAAAAAGTAAATAAGACAAAAAAAAATCAATCAAATCGATGAATCAGTGACAAAGATTCACCATTGATTGTTATTAGTGAAGCTCAACAATTTAGCTAAAATAACCACTAACCAAAAATCGCAAATCAAATAAAATATTTCATCTCACAGTTAAATGATTAAACACAAACAACTTAGTTACAATTAAATTCAACAATAAACAAAAACAATCAAAAGAAACTTTTGATTCCAAAAAAAAACTAAAATAATCAAATTCCCTGAGTTTCCCATTTGAATTTAATATAAATCAATCATACGATTTCAAGATAATCAAGACAAAAAATATTCACATGCAAATCATTTTGATAATCAGTGTTACTTATTAGTTAATAAATAGATTCAAATGATCATCATACCAAAGGTAAAAATAGATTATGATGATTTTGATTATCATTGGAAGTGATTCTTGAAATGTGAACATTTCAACGATCTAAAATTAGTTAATTCAACTAAGAGAAGAGACAAAATCACCTTAATCACTTGATTCTGTCAACTCTCTCTCTCTCTCTCTCTCTCTCTCTCTCTCTCTCTCTCTCTCTCCTCCTTCAACAACCAAACACACACCGAGTAACATGATCATCGAGTATCGCCAAGGGGAAACTAATCCCACCGCCAATCCTCATCTTCGAACATTTTTCTCTATCAAAATATCTGTGACACTCTCAATCACGGATTAACTGTTACACACCCAGAGAGACACTGAGAGAGAAATTTGGGTATTTAAAGAGCGACAAGTTTGCCAAAAAAACTCTTTCCTCGATTGTCTTCAATAAGAGAGATTATAACGGTTAATCTGTCTGTTGATCTTCCTCATCTTCTTATAATCGTTGGTTCGAGTAAGTATTCAATTTCTATTCTAATTGTTTATTAGATAACTTTTACTTTCGAATTTTTTTTTCAATTTTTGATTCTGTTCTAATTTGTTTTTTATTATATTGAATTCGTTTCTGTGTTTTGTACGTTGAAAAGAAATGTCCTTTTCTCGTAGTTTGGTTCCTCAAATGCTTCGACCAACATCCGATTGGTGGGACCTTTGGGATTTTCCACCTCGAATATTTGACCAGCACTTTGGTCTTGGATTGAATGAGGAAGATCTCATTCCATTGGCTTCATCACCTTTCTATCCTCGGTCATCTTTACTTCGTCGACAATTATCATCAACATCTTCCTCTGGTACCAATGCAACTCAATCAACCACCACCAGTGTTGTACCAAGAGGAGTATCTGAAGTATCAAATGTATCAAATCAATTTGCTGTTTCACTTGATGTCTCTCAATTTGCTCCAAATGAGATTACAGTTAAAGCGATTGACAACAATTGTGTTGTTATTGAAGGTAAACACGAGGAGAGACCCGATGAACATGGTTATATTTCAAGGCACTTTCAACGTCGATACATGTTACCAAAAGGAATCGAAGCCGATAAAATTATCTCTTCCTTAAGCCCTGAGGGTGTTTTAACTGTTTCAGTTCCCAAAAAGGCTCCAATTGAAGAGGGTAAACCAAAGGAAAAGGTTATCCCGATAAACTTTGGCTCCTCACCCATGGTTGTCGATTATGTTCAACCCTCAACTCCAGGTCAACTTGCGTCCTCATCCCAAACACAATCAGCCAATAATACCAATACCTCAACATCCTCAACAACCACAAATCAACAGGAGACAATTCATCAAATTCAAGTTGAATCCAGTGTCCAACAATCATCCAATATTGTCCAACAGCCCATCCAGCAAACCGAGGCCGCTAAACCAGTGACTGAGGCCACTGCCGCCGCCACCCCTGCCCCTGCCACTCCAGCAGAGCCACAACAACCCGCAGCTCCCGCTCCACAATAAATTAACGGTTAACTAATCATTGAAAATGACAATGAAAAAAAGTTCGTTGAGTAATTTGAAAAACAATTTTCTCGATTAATAATCAATCCTATTCGATGTAATAAGAACTTGATATTTATCAACATATTAAAATAAGAACAATTTAACAAACAATTAGCAGCAATTTCTTGATCCAAGTTAAAACGGGTAATAACGATGTGATCGAGTTCTGTGATAAAGAAAAAGAAAGCGAAACAATTAATTTTAATTGTCCTTCCAATCAATTGACATCATCATCTTACCCTGGAACTTTATCAAAGTAAAAGATTCGTTCATTTCTATCCAATTGCGAGATAATTGCTAAATCATCAGTCGATAAGGTGAAATGATTAAGCTTAATATTTTCTCGAATATGTTGCAAACTATCAAAGCCAACAATCGGTGTGATATTTGATTGTTGATGCCAACGGAGACAAATTTGACTATTAGAGACTTGATACTTAACAGCAAGTTGGTTAATTGTTGCATCTTCGATCACTAAATCATGGCCATTAATTGCTGCACTTTTAGCTGAGCCCAAAGGTGCAAATGATTGATAGATTATATCATTTTGATGGCAAAAATTTCGTAAAGATTTTTGCTGAAAATAAACATGAGTCTCATTCTGAACGATTGAAGGTTTAATCTCACACGAGGCCATCAGGTCAATCATTTGATTCTCATTGAAATTAGATAATCCAATTGATCGTACTAACCCAGAATCGACTACCTGTTCCATACTCTAAATCGACCCAATCAAAGAAGACAATTAAATCAATCGAAGAAATAAAATAATCAACACTTACCTTCCAAGTTTCATTCAAATTCGTAGTATGATCAATATCAAGTCTCCCTGATTCAGGATTAACAGGATAAAATTGATTATCGGTGATGTACTAATAATAGTAAGAATAATTTACCATCATTTATTGTTGATGATTATCAATAAATTCAACTAATCAGTGCTCACCTTTACACAGAATGGAGCATGGATTAAATATAAATCTAAATAATCACAATCAAGATTTTCCAATGTCTTGGTTAGAAAGTAGTTAACTCTTGTTGGATCCATTCCGTTCATTGGTAATTTAGAAGTGATGAAAATTTCTTCTCTTCTAATTAATCCTTGATTAATACATTTTCTTAATCCTTTACCAATGGCAGATTCATTCTGATAGAGAAAGGCACAATCAAAATGGCGATAACCAGTGATAATTGCTTCACGAATCCATTCATTAGCTTGAGACTCTGTTACCTGTTGAAAGAATCAAAAGAAAATCCCAATCAAGAATCACAATTAATCAATTGAAATTCGTGGAAAATTTCAATACATTATGAAGGCAAAGATCAACTATTCTAAAGACAGTGTTTAATTGTTTGAAATCAAACCGAATACCCTTTGTAACAATTAACCCGATTTCTTATCCGATTGTATTGTTGGCTAATTAGAAACTTACTCCATAACAGCCAAAGCCAATCTTGTTGGTTCCTTGATTGGATAGAGAAGGTGAGGAAGACATTGTTAATTAACACACATACACTGCTGAGATACAACAATTAAGGTTGAACAATTAACTTTAGATGGGAAAATGAGTTGATCAACTGTTATATTTGTTAGATTCAAGTTACAACCAGGGCTAAAGTTGTTCAATTACAAGACTAGTTAACAATTAACTCTATTTAGAGTGATGTTCATTTATATAAATGAAATGAAATGTGATCAATTGGCAACAATTAAGTTAACTAACAACAGTTTCTAATGAATGACAAAAAAATTACCTTTAAAAAGTATTTTCTTTTAAAGACAATAGATGTCACCACTAGCGAATTAATAGTTTCTTAATTGTTACAATTAAATGTACTCTTTCAAATCTAATAGAAGTTAAAATGGATTTAAATTTGATAATAATTAGTGTATTACTTTATTATATTAAATTATATTATATGGATAGGATGAAATTCAGTTTTCTTTGAAAAAAAAACATCGAAATCAAAAGTTAATTGTTTGATTTGAAAGATGAAAAATTGATTGGATTTTAATAACATTTAATGTAATAACAATTTCTCTTATCCAATTGATTGTTACCTAATTTTCATACTCAAAGGGTTGTAATTGAAACAAGCTCAAGAAGTTAATCAAATGTAAACAATTTATTTACAATTTTTTCCTTATTCATTTTTGATCATCGAGAAAACCAAATCACAACAAATTTAACTAATACTAAATAGTAATTTAGTAACGAAAATATCCCCTGGCAATTAACTACTCAAATTATTAGGAATTTGATTAATATCATGTGTAAATATTAGAGTAACAATCAATTTGTATTATTAACTTTTTTGAATCTCGATGGTCGAGATGAGGTTTGGTCAGTTGATGGAAAAGTTGATTGGTCAAACCTGAAAGGTAAGAAAAAGTTAATAATAGAGATGATTAAGATGATGGTGATGATGATGATAAGAGGAGGGATGATGATGATGATAAATATTTAGAACACGGAACTTAATTTCTTTAAATAGTTAAAATCATTTCAATTGAATTAACTGGTGAACGCAACGTTGACCATCAAGGACACTATTTAAATTATCCAATAATTTGATTGTTATTTAACTTGATTTTTAGTAAATTGTAGTTTTCCATTTGAATGAGAGGACTGATTGTAAACAGATTGATTAAATATTGATGTTCTGTGTTTTGTGTCAACTGATTAAATGTCTAACTCGGTGAAAAGTGTATCATCTTCACCAAGTGATCAGGTTAACAATCAAATTAATTTATTGTTAACTGAAAGTGCGATGGGCAAGGAGCGGGAAGTTAATAAGGATTCCCTGTATCTTGAATCATTGGCACGTTACAAGGAGTTGAAATCAATTGGTTCGTGTCTACATGGTGATTGTGATTCTGATGGTTTAATTAAACCCGATTGGTTTGATCAAAAGCTTTTCGATAAAGGAAAATCTTTGGGACAGAAATATTTTTTCTCCTCGTTTTTTGGTCATCTTTGTGGTGTTTACGTACTAGTCCAGGTACCCTCGATCTATCAGCCTCTACTGACCACGGGAAACTCACGAACTGTGGCCAGTTTATTTGCACGTTACCTGTCAACTCTCAATCATGTTAAAATTTGGTATGATGGTGATGTTTGGAATCCAAGTGATCCTGCCCATCGGTCAATCGTTTCCGTGCGAAAGGGTCATAAGTTAGTTTCATCTCGATTGAATTTAGGTAAACGTCAAGGTATCGATACTCTGGCCATTTCTCAGTTCGATATGTTTCTAACCTTATGGGCATTTGTTGGTAACACTTTCCTTCATCCTCAAGAAACTGGATTCCCTGATGATCTGGACACTATGAAAGCTTATTTACATTTTTGGCGGACAATTGGTTACCTGTTGGGTGTTCAGGATAAGTACAATATCTGTAACGATGATAATATGGATCGAGCTGATTCAATGATTAACCTTGTTTGGGATCAAGAATTTAAACCTTTGTTAATTGGCCATTTGAACCAGAATTCTGGTCAAGATAAGGGACAAATCATGTGCGACTCAATTATTGAAGCAATGAGGTCAGTTTTACCGATATTGTCCACTTCGGCTTTCATTAAATACTTTCAAGAAATTCATTCAATCAAATCAACAGTTAAACTGGACAAGACTCATGATAAGGTGAGTTATAAATTGATGAAGGTAACGATGAACAATTTGTTACCCTCGTTAATTGCTGATTCAATTGCTAATTTTTATCTCAAACGATCACTGGACAATTGTAATAAAAACAGAGTTAAAATCGCTAAATCACTTGAAGGTATTGGACCAATTAATGAATCAGACAAACAGCAAGTTGATCAATCGATTGATCAAAATCCATTAGAAACAATCTGATTTTCTGGTAAATCACTCAATCCAAACTCTTTGATTGTTAACTCATTTCATTAATTCTGTCCATCCAATGGCTTCACTGGCGATGCACTTGTTTCATGTCGATAACTTTAATCAAGTTTAAATCTATGGAACCAAAAAAAAAGAAACAATCAAATTACTTTGCCTGCGAATTGTTGATAACTTTTGATTGTTAACGCGATACAACAGGTTAAATAAATGTTGACTAAACAAAAGGAAAAACAATCACAATTAGTTTTTTAATTAATTTACGGGTTAAAAGTATAAATTGTGAGTTTGACACAAGCTCTAATGAACAAAGAATTAACATATTCCATTGGTTGTTGTTGACCGTTCAGAGCTTCGATAGAAGGATAGAAGATGAAGAAAAACACGATTTTCGAATTGGATAACAAAAAGGGAAGCTGAATAAGAAGAGAAGAAGATTTGGGTTCGAATGCATCATCCATTGATGGAAGATGATGATGATTGACAACAATTTGTTTTTCTTTTCACATGTTGTTGATCAGAATAAAAAGAAGAAGAGAAAAGAAACAAAAACGAAAAAAAAATGTCGCTCTTTAAAAGAAGGTGATATAAGAAGATTGGTTCAAGGGATTGAGAAGCTCACAAAATAATTGTACTTGTGTGTTTGTGTGTTTGGTTGTTGACGTTGGTAAAATGTTCATTTGCTGCCGATAATTAGTGATGATTAACTTTAATTAATCCTCCATTTTTGGTTTTAACTTGATTACGTTGTCTGGTTGGGCCTTTTTTTTGGTATAACATTTGATTGTATTGTTGCTTGGATCGGCCAATTAGCTGGGTAAGTGTTTGGATGTTGTTAACATTGTTGTTGGTGCCTTTACAGTTTCTCTGTAATTATTTATAATTAGTTGTTGCAGTAGTTATGATTAAATTAATCAATATTTGACTATTGATTTTGTTTACATAGTTTGTTAATATTTTCTTTCTTATTCACTTTTTGTATTTAATATAAATCTCTCCCTATCTCTCTCTCTCTCTTTTTTTTGTTTCTCTCTCACTCACTTAATTAATCGAGATGAAGGCTTGATTCATTTAAATCCTGTTTTGTTAACACAGTGGAGATAAAACGGAATTAATGAAAAAGGTCAGGTAATAATTAACGACTTAATTAATACACTGTGGTGGTGATGGTACTGATAATGAACATGGTGATGAATCCTAAGAGTTGTTGTGGTTCAAGTTTATATGTTTGATGTTTTGTTTGTTGGTGTAATTGATGATTTCAAATTATCACAACATGATTAGTATTGATAGGAAGCATTATTGTGTTGATTAAATAATATTACAGATGATGGATGATGTTGTTAATGAATATGATGATCACCATTTTCCAATGTCTTTTATATTTGCAAAATATTAATAATACTTGTTTCGCATCAATCTCGTTAACAACCATAATTTGATTGCAGGATAATTTCAATCAATTCATCGCCTCCAATTTGAATTTTTCGCATAAAAAACTTTTGGACTTTTTCACTTTTTCCACTTAATTGATTATAAATGTGTAAAAGTTTGGTAATTATCATCATTGATGCCTTGGGCTTTGTTCCTTGAATTGTTGACGTTTCTTTAATAATCGTTTCGATGATGTGATGTTCCTGATACAAGACCATTAGAATCTCGCCATTCACAAGTTTCAAACACCAACACGAATCCAATGAACTTTGTTATTTGATGAGTTGGTTTGTGTCCCAAAAGTTCAACTAAATAGGATTAATCAATTAAAATGATTAATATCCAATCATAGATGATGATTTTATTGTTGACATAGAGATTAGAGCAGCTTCTTTCAACACATGAATTGTCAAGATTGTTTGAAAATCCATAAACAGTGATGATGGTGGAGACGCAGGGGCTCATGTGTAGGAGTGAGAGAGCGAGAAGGAGAGAGATCTGTAAATTAAATGTTTCGGCGACAAATTTTACAAGAAAATGATCCTAGTGTATATAATGAAATGCATCCTTGATGATGGGACGAAAAACTGTAACATCATTAAATCTGAATTCTGAGAATCGTTTTCTAATATGTGTGAGGATGGAGATTTGAGAGACTTCTAGAAGACTTGAAGATGACGATGGTGATGATGGTAGTGGATCAGTTGTGGATTAGTTGCACATTGTTGTGTTCCTCTTTGAAAAAAACATTCGACTGGTGTCTAAGTGTTGATTGATTTTCTTTTTGTCTCGTTTCTTTATTCGTTGAGTAGAGAGAAAGTCGGGCGTAGGTCGAATCGATTGCGTGAAAATTGACCAAGTTCAATTTTATGTGATTATTGTTGTTTGTATGAGCTGAGAGGAGATGTTTGCATGAAAGGTATGATGTGGAAATAGATGAAAGAAGAGAAGAGAAAGAGAAAGAGAAAGAGAAATGGAGAGGATGGGACAAGAATTCTGTACATACCATGCTAATAAAAACAAAGATTTTGTAAAAGTTAGTTTTTTTCACCTCAGAATTAAAATTACGAAGTCTATGACTGGATTTTTAAGTTGGGAAATTTGATATTTAGTAATTTTTTCTTGTATTTTTGTTAATTTTGGAGTGGTGATAAAGATGAGAGAGAGAGAGAGAGATTGTGCTTTTGTTTTTTTGTTGCTGAATAGCCCTGTTTGTCTCATGCAGAGCGCTTTTATAACAAATTGTCTCCTACGTCTATGGGCAACAGTGACTTTCTCGATAAAATGACGTAGGCTTTTTGAGATAGAGAAGATGAAGAAAGAGAAAAGAGGTGAGAGAGTGAGGATAAAGATAAAAGGAGAAAAAGGAGATAGATGGATAGGAGAAATGATAGAAAGAACGAAAAGATAGAGAGCATGAGAAACAGGGTGAGAATGAGAGAGAGACAGAGAGAGAGACAGAGACAGGGAGAAAAAGAGAGATAGATAGAAGGATAGACAGAGGAAATATTTATGTACAATACTCTTTAGTCTTTAGTCTTTCGTTTTATGTTTTTTTAGGTTTATAACATGATGGCGATACATCACAATAGCTCATATTGTCGAAGATGCATTCTTTGAATAATGTCACGACAATCGTTAAATACACGGCGGATATTTTCAGTATCAACCGCACATGTGAAATGAGGATAGCAATAATGTTTACCATCACCACTTGCGGTGCTTATACGCTGAAAAGATAGAAAGAGAAATAAGAGTTAATTAGTTGATAGGCGAATAATAAAATTTCTTAATGAAAAACAAAATTTTGCACGATAATTGATCTAAATATGTTGTGATATTAACACACAGGATATGGTAGAAGGAATCGAGAGGCGAAACTTAATGAAACTCTATGTGTTGATAGGAAAATTTTAAGACTCTCTTGACATTAGGAAATAATTTTGTAACTATTTACTCTCAAATTTGCAAATACACCAAACGCTAACAGTTAATTAACGTTAAAAACGAGTGACAAATTGAATGAATGCATAATTAGCTCAATTATCGTTCAGCATTTAATTTTTACATCAGTTGTAAGTAGTCAAATAATCGTTGGACTTACCAGAAACTCATCTCTTATAAAATACTTGGCTCTAGCAACTTCCGGATCCTCTCCTGGCTCAATTACAGCTATGACTCAAGAAAGAAAAAGACATTGATGTTAGATTTTTTTTGATGGAGAGAGAGAGAGAGAGAGAGAAAGAAGAAAAAAAATTGTATCCAATTCATATAATGAAAGTCAAATCAGTTTATGCATGATGCTTACCATCAGGCGGAACCTGATATCGGGTAAATTCAGGGAAATAATCTTCAATCTTTGATTTTCCTAATTTAACTTTCTCTGCTAGTAGATCTTGTTTATTCAAAAATAGGATGACAGATATAGTCCTTAACCATCTGAAAAAGAAAAAAAAATAGAGTGAGAAATAGAAAAAGGAGATAAAGAATGAAATGGGAGAGCAAAAGATAGAGAGAGAGAGAGAGAGAGAGAGAGAGAGAGAGAGAGAGAGAGAGAAAACATCAAGGAATTAATATTGAATGAATGTGATAATAATGAAAACTTTGTATAGATTATAGTTTTATCAAATCAAACATGCAAACATTAATTATCAATGACTAAGGATTTATTGATTCTCTCAAGGTAACGTCAACAGCAGAGCCAAAACCGGATGAAAGTAATTTGGATTAGGTTAAGAGCCTGTGTAAGTTTTTACTTGTAGAGATGGGAAAGCGGTGAGAAGTATGTTAAAAAAACACAGGCAGAAAGAAATTCACATATAAACACCGTTAAGAACACGGAAGAGAGGGCGAGAGAGAGAGAGAGAGAATGGTGGCCCTTACCTATTATTCCAAATGCTTTTAAACAAATCCAGAGATTCTCTCAACCTATTTTGATTTGGGTCTTCTCTAAGCACCATATTATAACTACTACAGGCTGTCACGAAAATAATGGCAGTGACATCATTGAAGCATTGAATCCATTTACGCCTCTCATCTCTTTGACCACCGACGTCAAACATACTGTGAGTGGTAGTGATGGTGGTGGTGGTTGTTGTTGTGGTGGTTGTGGTTGTGGTTGTGGTGTAGTTATGGTGGTTTATTTGGTTGTAACAAAAGAAAAAGAAAAAGAGAATGAATAAAATTGAATAATAATGATATTGAAAAAAAAGAAAACAATAAAAAAATAATTGTTGATCTGTTACATCAAATTTTTCAATTGCTTTGTATTGAAATAAACATAAGGGAAACAAGAATAATGAAGTTTTTTTTTCTGTAGAGAGAAAAAAATTGAAAGGTAAAAATACTCACTGAAAATTAACTTTTTCCACTTGAAATTTGGTCTCAAATATTCCTGATGTCAAAACACGACATCTTAAAATGTCTTGTTCATTTGGTGTGTAATCTGAACTTTTTATTATGTGAACACGGTCTAAAAAACTGAAAGATAAAAACAAAACCGAAACAATAATGATTAATTTTGGGTGTTGAAGGTTAGAGATCATGATAGCACGTACTATTTTGCACAATCGATAAGTTGGTACTCGTTGGAGCGTTCGAATGCTTGTTGTACTCCTCTGTCTTTCCAAAGTATCTCAGTGTGTTCATAAAATTCCTATTCAAATAAGAAGAAAGAAAAAAGTTACAATTAGTTTAAATGCCAAATTAATTTTTGTGAGTTGAAAAAAAAAACAATCATAGATCGTTTTGAATATTTGAATGAATTTTTGACTCTCCGTATAAACAAAATAAAACAAATACAATGGTCTCTGTTATTGAATAATTTGTTATTAATGAAAACGTAAAAATAGACAGAATTATTCTTGTTAATAAGTGTGAGTATGAGAGAGTGAGAAAGAGGGTTTGATGTGCTGTTTAGTAATTTTTGCTGATCTGATAAAGTTTGCATTAAGAAGAGACCTGACACAGTTAGTGGTAAAGGCAAGCGGGAAACTTGTTACAATCAATTCAACCAGAACTGGTAAATATTATAGATGGATCTCTATACAAGAACATAGAATTGATAGTTTATGTTGATAGGAAAAAAATGATGAAGGCATCAAGCTGAGCTTTTACTTCAACATTTTGTTATTTTGTGTTTTTTTTTTTGAACAGCAAAAATTGTAAATTTAAAGCAATTTTTGTTATTATCGAGAAAGAATCGGGCCAAAAGGCTATGACAACGCAAAATGAAAAGGGAGAGAGAGAGAGAGAAAAAACAAAAGGAAGAATAAAAAGAGAATCGAAATGAGAATGAGTAAAGTAATAATATAAATATGATATAATAGTAACAATGAAAATTATTTCATGTTAGAATTAACCAGAGAGAAAGAGAGGGAGAGAAGGGAGAGAAGGAAAGAAAGGTAGAGAAAAATAGTGAGAGATGGATGAATGAGAGAGTGAGAGAAAGAGGCGAAAGGAAGGAAGAGAATGAGTGGAACAGGGAACGAGAAAAGATGTAAGATGATTATAGAGAGAAGGAAAAAAATTGTGATTCAAATTTTCTAAGAATTTGTAATACACTCACAGGAGGATAATCGAAATCAGGTTGACTTGCGAAATCTTGAATATAATCGACTCTCCACTGATGTTTAGAATCTTCAAGTTGAACACTTGGTACTAATGTACTCATTGCACCGGTGATTGTCTGAATTAAAAATAAGGAAAAGGTGAGGGAGGAAAGAGAATTAAATAATTAATTTAGATTGTGAATAAATTAATAGATCGATTTGCTGATTGAGAATAAAGCAAATTAATCGTAGTAGAATCAAGTTGAAGGTAAAAAGTGTCTTTATAATGATGATGATGATGAGAAAATCCAATCGTAGGAAACCACTTACTAAAATTGCATCGCGAATATTTTTCTTGATATCCTCAATTTTTTGTCGTTTTTCCCTGTTTTAAAATAACAAATAAACAATTAATAATTTTCCATGTATTTTTTAAACTCTTTTTTTTTATATCTCTCCAAGATGTGCTTAGAAAAATAGAAGATGATTGGTAAGGAAGAACTTACTCTTCGCTGAATCCATTGACATGCAATATTCTCATCTGTTTTACAATTGTGCTTTTACCCGATTCACCGGCACCTGAGATGGAGTAAAAATGATTTGAAAAAAAAAAGAATTAATGAGTGAAAAAGAAAGAAAAAGAGAATTAAGAAAGAAAGTGGAAGAAAGAGAGAGAGAGAGAGAGAAAGAGAAAAAAGATAGATACAGATAATAATAATAATAATAATAAGAGAGAGAGAGAGAAAAAAGTAAAGACAGAGAAAAGAAAGAGAAGGGAGGGAGGACGAGATGTAAAGAGAAAAAGATTGTCACTAACCTAATAATAACAATCTATGGGTGGCCCGGTAAATTTGTTTATCCTTCTGAATTTGTTTCTCTATTCTCTTATTGGCCTCTTTTCGTCTTTTATCTTCATCAGCGTCATTTTTAGCCTGATTACCTCCAAAGCAACCCATAACATTGGCCAAGATACTTTGTCGCCGCTGCTGGGTATCTGAAGCCAGCTTGGGTTAGTTGATCAGTTCCAAAAAAGGAGAAGAGATAATCCAAATGATGGCTAACACCAGAGTGATTGATTAAGAGGAGAAAATAGATGAGAGAGAAAAGAAAAAAAAATCAAAGGGAGAGAGAATAAATAAAAAGGTTAACCGTAAAAGAGAGAGAGAGAGAGAACCAATAAAACACACACACACACACACAGTATATAAAATATACACAAGATTAAAAGATGAGGGTGAAAGGTTTAAAGAGTAAGATGTATGAAGATTTAAAGATGATAATAGTTATTATTATTATGGTGAAAAGAAGAGAAATAATTGGAAAAAAAGGAAAGAATTAAAATATTACTACTATTGAATAGTAAACACATAATATTAATAAGAATAGAAAGAAAAACACATATACAAAAACAGAGGGTTGGTTGTTTTAAACACTATTTCAAGTAAGTAACAAAATGAATATCACTATGTAAGAGTAAAAGTGATTTTCTAGGTTTTGGGCGAATCCTGGATTCGATTATCTATTCGGACACCATATCAAACATATAGCATATTATAAAGTCTCACACATTCACACACAGTCTCACATGAAATTCATTCGGATATTCAGTGTATAAGAGAGAGAGAGAAAGAGGAAAAAAAGGAAAGATAGAAATAGTGAGAGAAAGAGAGAGAGAGAGAGAGAGAGAGAGAGAGAGAGAGGAGATATTTTCTTCCAGACAACAATTGGAAAACACAAGTTAGATATTCGGAAGAAAGTAAACTCAGGGAGATGGAACATCAATTACTTTTTCTACAAAAGGGCAAATTAGAAAGTGAGATTGTTGGAAGGTTGATTTAGATTAAGAGAGAAAGATGAGGTTCGGTAGGAATAGAATAGTTGAGGTGGATAAGAAAAAAATTACATTTAACAAAAAATCAGCTGAGAAAATGTAAACAATTTTTCGAAATGTTGAAAAAAAAAATTCTTTTCCAATTTGTTTCCATTTTTTGTTCTTGGGTTTCACTTCTTACCTTTTTATTTTTTAACCTACGAAAACACTTTATTAGACCAACATTAGGTTATCCTTTTTCTAACTATTCCGGTAACACAAATGAAGATGAAGGTAATTAACTTATGGAGATTAAAAGATTTAATTAGAAATTCCAATCAATTAAAATGAAAGAAGAAAAGAAAAAATTTCTTCTCCAATTTAAAAAGCTTCTGATTCCCGAATTCGGTTAAGTTGGTCTATCGAGTCCCAATTTATTTCGATATCAGGATCCGTTTAGGATTCGAATTTTTTTCTATTCCAAATGAGTTTGTTTTCTTTCCACTAGATGGAGACACTAGTCTATTCGTCTTTTTGATTGGAAAAAATTAAAAATTTTTTCCAATTTACTTTAATTACTCTGATTTCTGTAATCAATTTAACCTTTACATTTATGTTAATTTTAACAAATTATTAAGAACTGTTGTTGGTGTTAATCATCTCTACTGTTCTCTGGATTATTAAATTATTTGCAATTCGATAATAATTTGAAGTGAAAACGATGAATCAAAATGTTTTGTTTACTTTTGGCTAATGAGTTTAATTTTTTTTATTCTTGTTTTAAATCTAATTAATTTAATTGTTTTTGGTTTTTAAATTTTCAATTAAACGATAAGATTGAAAATGGAAAATGGTTAAAACAAATTTTACAATTGGAATAATTTAAACACAATCAAACAGTCACAACTGATTAATAATATCACAAAGAAATTTTTTTCCACAATCGGTGTAAACATAAAGGTAAGTTTGATTTAATTTAAAATGATTAATGTGATTAATTGGGTGTGTCCAGTTGGTGCCATTGGTAAAATTTAATTGATAATAATGGTAATCATGATTAATGATTTTTCTTCTCTCCTTTTTGTTTTGCTTTTTTACATCATTTTCTTTTTAGTTGCTGTGTAACGTTCCAGATAAGACTCATAACCAGGTAGATTTTGAAATTCTTTCAATTTAAATAGATTTCCATCAACAGCAAGTAAAGAAATTTTTGATTCACTAAGAAGATCAACAGGTATGGATGATAAATTTAAACAATTCTCTTCCAATCTTAGAACTTTTAATCGTTTACACTGGCAAATATCAGGAGAAACTGTGGTCACCTGATTCTGATTAAGATTAACCTCCAAAGCTTGAAGATCAGCAACACCATCGGGAATAGATTTAATCTTATTATGTGATAAATCAACAACTTCCAAATTTTTTAATTTAACCAATGCCATTGGAAAAGAGGTAAGTTGATTAAAATTAAGATTAACAATTCGTAATGACGTTAAACAACTAAGATCTGATGGTATTCTGGTTAACCTATTTTTAGTCAATGAGAGAGTATCCAATTTGATTAAACGATTAATCTCATCAGGTAGTCCAATTATACAATTATTGTTGAGAATTAGATGTTTAAGTGAAGTAAATAAGGCCATGAAAGTGGGTATTGTTTTAATCCGATTATCAGATAAATCAAGGCTTCGTATGTTTCGAGACAATTTAACCAAATGTTCAGGAAACTCTTTCAACTTGGCATCTTTTAAAGTGAATACTCCAGTTCTTGATGCATTTTCATAATGTAAACGAATAGAATTTGCATTTCCCATATTTACCTTACACTTGAGATGTTAATCAACAACAAAAAAAAACCGATGATAAAAACAAATTTACAATCACAATATAAAACAAACAGAAAACAATTAACAACAATCAGATCAACATTTTGATTTGGAAAAATTTTTTTTTCTGTTGATCCATTTAAACCCAATCGAAGCCAATAGATGTCGCTGGTTGGTGATTCCAATTAAGTTTTCCAATTGTAACAATTTCTAGCGGTTTATTCAATTTTCTCAATTTAATTGTTATTTAATTTTAATCTTCTACAATTAATCAACGACTTAATTGTAAACACTTTCTCTCCTCGTTAATTGGATATTTCTTAAAATACAACATTATGATCAATCAAAAGTTGTTATTACTTTTTCTTATTGTTTTCTTAGCTTAAGGATATTGGAATTAATTAAATTGTGTTGATCAATAAACAATCAACACAATTTAAAGGTTCAATTAACTTTTACAAATTATTTGAATTTTTAATTTTACTCTTAAATTACTACTCAAACTAATTAACAAACCAAAATTAGATCTTTTTTTCTTTTAGATGAGAAAAATTTAATTTACTATTCACGTTTTACTTTCACCAACCAACTAATTAACTTAATTAGTTTATTTTTGTTACTGTTAATAACCTTCAACCAAATTAACTTTGATTACTGATTAAATGGGAAATGTGATTTATCAATTTCATCTTTCCATAGGTAACACCATTAATCAAGTAACAATTACAAAATTAAGGTCACCAGTTGATTTAATCAATTGTTAAAGAGGCGAAAGTGTATCTTTACTGTTTCATTGAATATTTAATCACAATTAATTAGCAATTTAAATGATTAACCAAGAGATTACCTTTTTTTAATTGAAAACATTACCGTTAATCATCATATTATTATTAATATGAATTGTTTCTTAATTTAGTTTACAATTGGCTAATTGTTTGTTAACTGTTTCTTTTTTCAGAATCCAAACTGATTAATGGATAAACAAGATTCCCGATTTGTTTAATTTAATTGCTGATAAGTTAATCATTTCAAACGGAAACCCACCAGAAAATAATAATCACCCGTTGATAATAATAACCTGATAAACAATAAGTTAATTGTTATTATTAATTATCATCAAAGAGCAACATTATAATCATCATAATGTTGAAACTTAATTTTTATTTTTAACCTGAAAACCTTAAATCTAATCAACAATTAGAAACTTAAAATTGATACAAATAATTAACCAATTATTTAATTGTGATTAACAATTTCCTCTCCCATCCCAGATCAATGATCAACTACAATTAAACTTAATTGTACTCGAAAAAAAAGTGACAATTCATCATAAGAAATTAATCTCATCACAAAAAAAAAGTTAATCCGATTACAAGATTAATTATCATCCAATTGGTTCAATTTCTCGATTGTTATTGTCACAATTAAACAAAAAGGATTAAAACAATTGATTTCATTTCGTGAGTAACAATTAAAGTAAAGTAATTGTTTCAAAAAGAGAAACAATTAGCCTCTTGATGAAAATTCTAATGGTCAGTTTTTTATTCTCTCTCTCTCTCTCTTATTACAGTGACCAACGATCCATGAAAAATATCAACATGTCTTCCATCAGAATGCTAATGATGATAAAAGAAAAACCCTCTACCCACCTTATATTAACTTCTCTTTCTTTTCTTTGCTTATCTTCATCTTCTTCTCTCTCTCTCTCCTTTCTTCCTCTTCCACTCTTCTCTTACAATAACATGGCGTAAGGTTTGGTAGTTGTGCTTCCAATTAGGTCCCAACCCTTAACGTAAATCACAATTGACTATCATCATAATCATCGTTATATTTTCATCATTTTCCACTTTCATGTTAATCATCATCCTCATCTTCATCTATTTATGATCTCTCACTATTTTGGCGAACAAGTTGTCCCAATCAAATTCAACCCTGAAAAGTGTCAACTGATTTTCTTTATCAACTTTGACCTGGAATAAAAGGGAAAAAAAAACATACGAACAGTATCTTCATTGTACAAGAAAACTATCGATGGAATAACCATGAAAAACTGACCTAGAAAGAAAAAGAAAAAGGTAAATATTATACTCTAAATGCCCTCAGGCACTAACCCGTCCTTTCTCCTGTACCGTTTTCTTTAATTTTATTCCTTCCCTCTGCCTCCTTTTCTCTCTCTCTCTCTCTCTCTCTCTCTCTCTCTCACCCACTCCCGTGCCATGATTATTTCTGTTCATTTTACTCACTCACTCTCTCCCTCTCATGTTGTGATCTTTTTAATAATTTTCGCTCACTTATTTCTCATTCGATTGTTAAATCAAGACACAACAATCAACATCATCATCATTTCAAGGGAAGTCTCCGGAAGATCTGAATCGTTTGACAAGAAATGACTTCAATAAGTGTAAACAGTGATGTCAATCATAACCACCATCATCATAATCACCACCATAAACCACCACCACCACCTCCACAACAACAACAACAGCAAATGAGGCAACTTGAACCACCATTGAATCAACTTAATCACCATCCAAATATCTTGTGTTTCCAACATTGTGACACAAAATGTAAAATCTTTTCCTTCCAATTACCTGACCGATGTCCACTCTGTTCAATACGATTAACACCAAGTGTCCAGTTAATTTTACCTCCATTTCAAGTTCCAGTTCCATTAACTAATCATAAACGAATCACAACCTCAATCATTATTCGTCCCACCGAAGGAGATTTTCTTCAGTAAGTTAATCAATCTAATTAACTTAATTTAAGTTAAATGATAACAATCAAAGTAGAGAAAAAGAAAAAACTGAATCTTCTTTTCCATGAGAAAAGATAGAAATTCAATCCTTCAAGTGAGAATTAATTCTGATTAAGACTCGCCCACTATTTTCATGGTAACTCACACACACAATTTATCCAAACATGTAAACGAAAGGTTAACGTACCTTTAATAGTGTTTGATTTTCTGGTTCTTTTCATCAAAATGAACAATTTATTTTGATTATTATCAAAATTGGAAAAAAAATGGAGAAAATATTATTTCTTCCTTTCTCATATTGGTATTTATCTATTTCTTTCTTGACAGTAATTATCAGAATTCTGCTGATCTTCACATTGGATTAACTGATTCTAAAGGTGATGTCTATGAATTTGACCGAAAAGGTGTTCATGTTGGTTCACAGAATCGCTTTTGGACAGATTGTTTGGCCATTCCGGTAATCGAACCAATCTCACAATCATGGAAAGACTATTGGGATTCAACGTTAAAAGTATTGGTACAAATGCCCATTTGGACAGCCGATAGTTACACTCAAGATGATAATAATTGTTACACTTTTGTGTTGACATTTTTACGTCTTCTCAAGATAAAACAATTAAGACCTTCATTAGCCAATAAGACACAATTTTGTAAAGACTTTATCATCCCTCGAACCAGAGTGGCCGCTAAATACATTGCCTTGTATCGACAAATCCGCCGTGATTCAATTGCTGTGGTTCGAACCCAACAATCAAATTAAATTACGACATTTTTGTTAATCCTTTGAACGGATACACAAGAAAACTCTGTTCATTTCTTTTTCGTATCTTAATATACAAAATAATTACTTTAAATATGGATTAACTTGAATAATAATAAATTTTTTTGGCAACAATTTAATTTTATCTTCTAAATTGTTAACTTGGTTCATTGGTGTATCCAGAAGCTTTTCCACTTTGACCTTCCTTGGCAAAAGATAAAGGTTGAAATGCTGGATTAATCTTTAATCCATACCATTTATCTTGGACTAAAGTTTCAGATTCAATTAGTTGATTATTTGAATCGGGTAACAATTCATTGTCACTATCAGCTGATTCATCGATTGTTGATTCTTCTTGATTCCAATCAACTCCACCATAGGAAACTTTACAACCACAAAGAATCTCGTACTCCTTGTAGGTTAATACAGGTAAATGCAAATCCAATTTATCGATTAATTTGGTACATTGGCAGCCGTTAACGAGGACGAAAGCGTCAAGATTGGTGAAATTTCCGAGTTTACAAGCATCAGTTGAATGGATTAAGATTATCTTGTTAATCTTATGATTTTTTCTCTTGATTAATTCAATTTTCTCCAAGTAATCATCAACCAGAGGGAAAGCATTTGTGAATAAAAATCCTAAATTGATCACTTTCTTTGTCTTTAATCGTTCAACCAGGCCAATCCTTTTCGATAATTCCTTTTGTCCTTTTCGTATTTCAACTGATTGTTTAATGGGATCAATATGGATCAGTCCACTGGTCAGTCTAAGATTAAGATTAACTTGTGATCCAATGTAAACAATTTTAGAATAATAATCAAGTGATCGAGCAATTTGAAAAGCACCAAAATCATGAGGTATCGCATTCACATCTTTATGAATAAAATCTTGATGAATCTCATCAAAATCCCAATTAAACGATAAATTCAACAATTTACCAGGATGTAACCAAGAAAATTGTAAACACAAACGTTTAACCAATTCCACATAATTAGTACTATACAATATCAGCCATTTACCAGAATTATCATCACCACCATGAGAAGACAAATTTTCCGTATACAATTTAGTAATTGTTTCAACAGTAAAAGACCACAATTGACCATCAATTTGATCACCAAAATGAAAGAAAACCGGCAATTGATCAAGACACCTTGGAATGGGAGCCAAACAGGTATCACCGAATTTAATCAAACCATCAACCTTATCAACACCTAAATGTTGAATGGAAAGTAAATCAATCGAACAAGAATCCGAAACAATTAGAGAAAAATTAACCAAAGGTAAACGAGATTTAAAAGACAACAACAAATCAACCGAATGACCAATTGATCTTTCATCCAATTGAACAGCAACCGAATTAAATTCATTCTCTTTAATCCAGTTAACACAACGATCGTTTACCAAATATTCCATCAATAACCCCAAGCACAGAGGAACAATTAAAACCAAGGAAAAAGAGAAAAAAAATTCCAAATCAATTAACTCAATTGATCTTCTAAAAAGAGAATAGAACAAAAATGAAAAAAGAAAATCAAATTTTCCAAAACAAGAAAACCGAACACATGTTAAGTTGTGTTTCCATTGCCAACACAAAGACTAACAAAGAGAAGATGAGAAAAGGTAACATTTTGTTTCTCTCTCTAATTCTTGCCAGTCATCAAACCGATTGAATTAATTTTCTTTTTTAAATTAATTGTGATTGTCATCAGAATAAATTGTTCGTGATCATCGTTTATTACCAAATTGTCTTCAATTCTCCGGACACAATTTACCTTTTTCTCTGTGGTGGAAAAATTGAGTTTCTCACTTTGTGTTTATAATTTTTTATTCTCCTCACATTTTTGTCTTCCTTCATCTTTCCTTTTTCTCTCTTTCTCCCTCTCTCTCTTTTTTCTCTCTCACTCTTTCTTTTTTTTTCTCTTCTTGTGTTCTCTAACTATATTTATATATTCCAACCAGAGTTAATCTCAACAACAACAACTCATTCAACACTTATTCACCTTAAATTATATTCTAATGTTTGAAATATTGTCTATAATCAACGTGTAGCCTTTACTTAATTATGCCCAATCAATTGATCAATTAACTGTGTCTCCATTTATACTCTCTCTGTGTATTTATAATCCTTCAACTCTTCGTATGAGATAAATTATTAAGTTATATTGATAAATTATTGGAAAACCTTTGTAACAAATATAACTGTTGATATACTATTTCTGTCTTCATATTTCCCCTGTTCAATTTTGTCTCATTTCTAATTCTCTCTTTTGTAATTTTCTTTTTACACTTTAACCATTGTAACGATTATCTGACTCTCTCTCTCTTTCTATTCCTTTGCTTTGTCTCTATTTCTCTCTCTCTTTTCATTATAAACAAATTCTCTTCCCTCCTTCTCTATTTCAATTTCCTAAACATTTCGTCTAATATCATGGCTCAAGAGAGTGATAATAATAACCATCACCAAGAACATGAGAATCACCAAGAAAGAACCCGATCATTGGAGCCAATTGATGGGCACCATCGTCTTCAGTATACTTATTGTATTTGGTATTCTCGTCGGACTCCAGGTAAATTAACCAATCCATTGACTTACGACCAAAGTCTAAGGATCATTGCTACATTTTCTACCGTTGAACAATTCTGGTCTGTACAATCTTATCTCTTACGTCCATCCGAGTTATCTGGTCACTCGGATTTACACCTTTTCAAAGATGGAATCAAACCTTTATGGGAGGTAAGAGACACGACAAAATTATTCTATTCTTTTCTTCCTATTCCCGAGCTGAACCTTTTCTCTATCTCCTTCTCTTCAACCCTTTACCTTTACCATTACAGTTTTATTATTATTGTTCTAATTTGATTTTAATTCTATCTTCTTCTCTCTTTCTCTCTTTCTATTGATTCCAATGGTTTGTCCACCTTGATGTCAATTCTTTTCTCAGGATGATGCTAACAAGGAAGGAGGAAAATGGATCGTTCGTTTAAGAAAAGGTTTAGCATCTCGGTGTTGGGAGAATCTAATTTTAGCCATTCTCGGTGAACAATTTATGGTTGGTGAGGAAATTTGTGGAGCTGTTGTTTCAATAAGGTCTCAAGAAGATATTATCTCCGTTTGGAATAAAACTGCCAATGATTCAATTACCACAATCCGAATACGAGATACCCTTAAACGTGTACTCAATTTACCATTGAACACGATAATGGAATACAAGACTCACAATGACAGTTTAAGAGATCATTCAAGTTTCCGTAATACTGATGTTTTTGTACGGTAATTTATCCAAATTACATGTATACAGAGATGATAATGATAGATAATATTTCCAAGAAATAATTACCAGAAATCGTCTAAACCCATCGTAAACATCATAGTAAATTAATCAACATCAACAGCTGATATTTGCAAAGGACAAAACATGACAGAAAAGACCATCATGAAAAGAAGGAGATGAAAAAAAAGAACAGAAAATCACTTTTTTTTTCTATTCAATATTCTAAACAATTTTCAATAATTACCTTAATTACGAGATGAAATATCGGTAATCAAAATTAAATCAAAAAAAGAAAAGGAAACCGCAAACATAAACAACAGAAAAAAAGTTAACAGAGATTAAAAAGAAAAAATATTCTTCTGAAAAAAAAAATCGGCTAAATTGCTCCTTTTCTCAGGATTTACAATTAATAAATTGTTCGTCCTTGATTAACATTCACTTAAGTTCAACTCTCTCATCTCTAATCATCCAGATTGATTGGAATCAAATGATTGAGCTCATGATTAAGATCCGATTTTTATTTTTACTGATCAGATTTTTACCTTCTCCAATTTAGAAGAGAAAAGTTTAAAAAGGTTAATTGATTCACTATTTAGTTTAACAAATTTGAATTAGAGTTTTAATTGTGCCGTTAATTTAGTAACGTTTTCAGCGAGAAAGCATTTAATTTATGCAATCAAGATTTCCAATCAGAATAGATCATATTTATTACATTGTTTAGTCAGTTATTCACTCACTTTTGTTTATCTAGAATTTATTATAATCTAAATTAACGTGTTATTAACAATCAATTAATTAAATGATCTCAGAATGAATTTGATTGCTATGACGCAACATTAACATATGTTGATTTGTTTACATTTCCAATCACAAGGGTTGACTTGTTATTTGTTGTTCTTTGAGTTAATTGTGATAATTTGACGATTAATTTTCGTTTAACTGTGATTATTATTCTCTCTAATTGTTAATTAACTACCAGAGAATCTGAAAATCTGTAAAATCAATCAATAGTATCATGAATAGTTCACCTTGTAATTCAATTCTTATTCTAAATGATGATTGTCTTCATCACATTTTCTCCTACATTGTTAATATCCGAGAGAGATTAAGACTAATTAGAGGTAAGATTTTCTTTTCCTAATCACCCAACAAGTGACAATTAATATTCTCTGTCATTGACTTTAACTGTCACCTTAAAATTACTCCAAGTTGACAATTCGTTAATTGTCCTGATTGTAAATAAATCGACAATTTAGTTGAATGTTTTTCCTTTTGTTTTCTGTTGTCATGAGTATTTTCAATTTCTCTTTTTTTTCATCTTCCTCTTTTCCAATGATTAACTTAATTTTTTACACTTTTCTTTTCTTTTCGTATTCTAGTTTGTAAAAGATTCGAGCAATTAATTGAATGTGGATTAAAAACCGATGCAGTTTATTTACACATGAAAAATATTCTCTATCCAAGTGAATTTAATGATATAAGAAAATATGAATCAATCAAATTCAAAAGTAGCCAATTGTTTGGTGTCTGTCGTAAAATCATTGAATTGTAAGTAATACAAAACAATTAACCTGACGACTCAATGGTAACGATTAATTGTTCTGGTAATTTATATTCCAATTCTATATTGAAACAGTCACAATGAGATATTGGATTTTACTGATGAACAAGATGGACTTCTTGGTTTCTCCGATTCCGATGTTTCCGGTTTATCGTTTGTCGATAAATTGGTTCTTAAGGCTCGTCACACTTCCCGATTCAAATCAAACTGGACAATGGACACAATTGATTCAGATTATGCTGAATTTAAATGGCTTCTATCCCGATGTGTCCAGTTGAAAACTCTCCATGCATTTGATTTCCATTTGGATTCGTTTGTATTGGAAATGGTTCCCAAATCTTTGCTTCATCTCAGTTTGATTAATATCTCATTTGATCCGAAAGATTTTGAACAATTTTTATCAACTCATGGTCAACAATTAACTGGCTTTAAATATTCACGGAAATCAGCAATACCCTTGGAGTTTGACCGGACCATTGTTAACCTTATTTCTCAATATTGTCACAATTTGGAAAAACTTGAACTCACCTTAACTTATCCCGAGTTAATCTATTTTGGTTCATTTAAAAAGCTTAATCATCTTACAATTGATGGAACTGGACGATCAATTGTCTTCTATGAATATGCAATTCAAAATTGTCCAAATTTGACCTCGTGTAAATTGACCTTCAAAGTTTTACCATCAACAGAAACATTGACCCGATGGAATAACATTTTCCCAAACCTCAAAGACATTCAATTTCAACCTGAGCAAACTTGTTATTTAGCCCTTTGTATGTGAGATTATTTTACCATCATCACCATTAACATCTTCAAATTAATCATCAATAAACTCCAAGGGTAAAAGGTCATCTAAAAAACAACAACAAACAAAATGGACAACAAAAGATGAGGTCAAGAAAAAAAGTTATCGAAACAAAAAAAAAATAGAAAAACAATAAACTTTGAATTGGAAAATTCGTCAATCGAATCACATTTATACTCAACAATTAACACTTACCGAAGCTTCATCTCTGTATCTCTGTAAAACGACAATTTAAATGAAAGTCAATTAAAAGAATTAATCAATTAAATCAACTCGACACTTCGATTGTCATCAATCAACAACAAAAGAACAACAAAAAAGTATCGATATCATTTAGATCCATTGAATATCCGATACCAAATTTTTTTTCTTTCTTTTCAAATCTTTTGTCTCTCAATTTGACAATTAGATTTGATTATTTTCTTATTCTAATCAACTGATTTATTGTGAACTTAATTCCGTTTAATTAGAGTAGATGAGTGACTTTTAACTTTGGTGATTATCGTGTTTTAATATTCTTTCAATGTGTTGTTTTTGTTTTCTATAGAAAAAATTTCCAACCTCTTGGATTTTCATCTTTTTTTTTGTCCAAAGAAAAGAGAAACATTATTGTTTTAGAATAGAATTTTTTAATTTCTTAGCAATTGATTAATCTGATTCTATTTATTTAGAATTTGCTTTTCTACGACAATCCAATAGTAAGAGATTATCCTTTTTCTTTCTCATGTAAGATTGAATGTGAATTATTTGTTTTCCTATGGGAATGACCTCTGTTAAATCTTTGTCTAAAGGCTATTTGCCTTCTTGGTTATCCAGTTTTCGTTTGTTTATCAATTATATCATCAGTTTTACTTTGTCATCAATTTTATCTCTTTTATGGTTCTATCTTAAACCTTGGGTTAAAATTGGCCTGAGAAAATGTACCGGTTTATGTGAACTCCAGCGAATTTGCTATAAGACGGAAAAAGGAGCCCAGCGATCATTGGAAGTGGAAAAATGTGTCTACTCATCAAAGTGTCAAATTGTGAAAACGATTCGAAATCAGCTTGATGATGTCGCTAAAAATGGTCGATTTAATTCAAGTAATACCAGAGAGGTTGTTCAATTGGTGGAAAATGCAGTTGAATCGATTTGTAATGAGAAAGAAATTAATCCCTCCAATCACCCAGAGTAAGAATATTCAAATCCATTGGATTACCAATCAATGTTGTTTTCCATTTCGCAATGAGAATTAATCATTAATCTCTTTTTTTCTTTTTCTTCTTTACTTCGATATAATAGATTTGTCACTGCCATGAGAATATGTTTCCTTCAAATCTATGGTTATAAGAATTTACAGTACAAAATTAATTGTCTTCGAAATGTACCAATCGATCTAAACAATTCGAAACATGTTAAAAAACTCACCAAACTTTGGAATTCATTGAATCCTAATAATCCGTTACAATCCAAAATCTCATCTCAATGGATTGAAATTGGTTTTAATTGTGAAGATCCAGTGGCAAATTTCAGAGGAATTGGTCTTCTCGGATTGGAAAATCTACTTTACTTCTCAATTAATTATACCAAAAATGCTCAACAGATTCTCAATCATTCGAAATCAACAATCAATGGGTAAAATTCTGACAATAAGTTTCTCTATTCCAATCATCAATATAACAATTTACTAACCATTTTTTCAACTGATCTTTTAAATTGTAGATTCCCGTTCGCATCCACCGGAATCTATTTGACCTACGTTACAATTAATCTACTCAATACCGGTCGATTGAAAACTCACTTTTATAATAGTCATTTCGGAACTACTTGTTTAGAGGATTTTCATAAAGTTTATTGTAAGTTAATCATCTTGGCAAATCAATACAATTAATCGTAATTCTATTTCTAAAATTAGGTTATCTATTTTGTGCCCTGGAACACTTATGGTTAAAGGAGAAATCAAATAATGAAAATGACCTGAGTTTCATCAAAGAGAAATTAATCTCTAAACTGGACAGCGAACTGGAAAGAAACGATATAATCTTAAAATGGATTCCATTGTAAATATTGACACGAATTTGTGTGAAATGAAATATCCCTGATAACGATTGATATTATTTCAATTGATTTCCAATTCTGTAAAAATCTACATGTAAAATAATAACCTTTATATTTGTATCTTTTTCACTTATACATTTCTTATATATTATATTGTAAAAAAGAAATGCCAAAAATGATAGACAATCACAATCAATTTAACCCGAAACATAATCAACCCAAATAACCAAAATAAAATGAAATCTTTCAATTACTAAATGATGACTTTAATTCATATAAATTCGTACCTTGGTTGATCAAATAGATTACAAATTGTGATGATATCCTGTTTCCTATTGAAACGAATGATAAAAAATCAATTTCCTCACAATTGATGAGCTAATTAAACGGTAATTAACCAGGACCTCCGGTGATCATAGCATATAAACCAAGGGGAATTACATAAATTTTCCCAATTGTATCAAGAACGGAATTGAATGATCGACGAATAACAAACGGAATCATCTTGATAATATCTCTCGCCTTGATTGAATTCTGTTGAATTGTTGATTGTTTATCACTTTCGAGATTCCTGATTGAACCATCCTTGATTGTGGAAGCTAATTAAAGACAAGAGAAATTAAAGAAATCAAGCAAATGAGCCGTAACAGTAAAATTTACTTACATTTATCAATCGATGCAGTTGCGACCATGGTAACAATTAAGGTGATCACAATTAGCGAAAGAACAATTTGATTATTCATTTTCATTTTAACTCTTCAACTATTAAGTTTATCTGTTGAATGATGAAACTTGAATGTCCAAGAATTTGAATGTTTCTGGTAACCCTTTTGATGACCAGTAACATATAATCAATTTCTGATGAAGGGTCAGCATCACATAAACTTGACATGGAAAACTGAAAATTCCGGTTTACCAAAATAAAATGAAACCTTTCAATTAACGATGATAATCAATTGATTCATTTAATTTGTACCTTCGATTTTCACAACACTTAATAGATAACAGATCAAATCGTGATCAAATTAACTATTGTACAAAAAGATCTAATCAATGACCTGGTCTATTAAATTAAGAATAACAATTGGAAAGAACAATTTAACTAAAAAAAAACTTTTTTTTCGTTCAATATATTGACAGGAAAATCGCAAAACATGGTAACGGATTTAATTTAGTTGTAGAGAGATCGAGTAATTAACTAAATCCACGTTAATTAACCATATTTGATCATAGAATATAAACCAATTACTGTTCCATAAACTCTTCCAATTGTATTATCGAGGACGGAAAATAATGACCTCACAATTAAAGCCGGAACTCTCTGGATAATATTTCTCGCTTTGATTGTATTCTGTTTCATTGAATCTCTTTCAATGTTCCTAATTGAATCACCGTTAATGATGGAGGCTAATTGTAAACAAGAGAGGTTGAAAAAACTAATCAACTAATTGTTGATGTAATATGAGAATTGGAGAGGTAAAAATTTACTCACATTTATCAATCGATGCAGTTGCGACCATGGTAACAATTAAGGTGATCACAATTAGCGAAAGAACAATTTGATTATTCATTTAGAATCTTTAACAAAGTTTATTTGTTCAACGATGAAACTTGAATGTCTCATTTTCCTGGTGAACCTTTTTTGATGACCAGTAACAAATAACTTATATCAATCAGTTCTGATTAAAGGTCAATAACATATTCATTTGAAGGGGAAAACAAAATTCTGGTTTACTCTTTTATTCTGGATCATTTTAATTGCTGATTGGAGTGTAACAATTAGCTGATTTACTTGAGTGAGAATAAAAATCAAAGAGAACAATTTAAAAGTCAATTCTTTTCTTCTGTTATTAATGTTGACAGGAAGAGAAAACCATGTGAGCAACAGCTGATTGAATTTCTCTTGTTTTGTTTACTTTGATTTTAGACGAAAAGATTTTCATTTCTTAATTGTTCTTAATTTTCAGTTCTAATTTTTATTAATTCTCTTTTTCTCAATCAATTCTAACTACTATTCACTGTGAGAACTTTTTAATTAACTATGGTAGCGATCACTGAATCATGGCAACCACCATTTGTGGAGTTTGAAACCAAGTGAGTTTTTCAATTTCTCTGTTTTGTTTTTCTCTTATTATTTTGATTATTGGTTGTTGATTGTTGATTTAGTTTCCATTTTAATTTAACTGATTTTTCCATTTTCTATCTTTTCCTTTCTGATTCTCTAAAGTCATGGTAAGTTTATCGTTGAATTGTACTGGTTACATGCACCAAGGACTTGTCATAATTTCGCTGAGCTTTCCCGTCGTGGTTATTATGATGGTACAATTTTCCATCGGGTTATCACCGATTTCATGATCCAAGGAGGTGATCCAACGGGAACAGGTCGAGGTGGTTCATCAGTTTATGGTAAAAATTTTGACGATGAGATTCACGGGGATCTTAAACACACCGGAGCCGGTATACTATCGATGGCCAATTCAGGTGCAAACACCAATGGGTCACAATTTTTCATCACATTGGCACAAACATCCTGGTTGGACGGTAAACATGCCATTTTTGGTCGGATTCATAAGGGAATTGGTACAATTAAAAAAATAGGACGAGTACAAACCGATAAAAACGATAAACCAGTTGATGAGATCAAGATAATCAGAGCAAAACCATTGATGGAACTTGAAGAATAACAAAATAATACTAATGACAACAACAACTTCCAACTTCCATTAATCATTCACAATTATCTCGACAATCGTAAAATATTTATTCCAAAACGAAATCAGTAAATTAACCTTGGAAAAGAAAAAATATTCTCATAATTAAAACTCTTTTACAAGGTTAACCAAAGTTGTAACTTCATTTATCTAGTTGTCAGATTATTTAATTTACTAATCATTTGAGATTTTCTCTGGTAATTTTAGTTCGAGGTTAATCAAAAAAAAAGAAGAAGACGAAACAACAACAATCAACTAATTTCTCTTTGATAATTAACCATAAAACCATAAAAAAATCAGCTTCTCAATCAAATGTATTACCAAGGTAACAATTAACCTCAATCGAAGACAGAAATTATCATCTCGCAAGTTGATCAAAGGTACAAAATGAACATAATTGTTGATCATTTCAACAATTATCTTAATCTTCCTGAAACTTTAATCAGTTGAACTGTTCAATGATCAATTTTTTAATTTGATTAAAGAAACAACAACAATTAATATTATGAGAGAAAAGTTTTTTATTAATGTTGACAGGATGCAAACCTTGAAAATTTGATGAAACAATTGAAACAACAATCAATTAATTTACATTACCGATCACCTTAACAATGAAAAGTATCAAATTTTAATCAATTCATTAAAATGGTTAACAATTGTTATAACAATGAAAATGATTCTCTTGATTGTAACTGTCTAATACAATTGGTTACAGATTAACTGTGCATTGGAAAGTTAATCAATCACAATTAATTGTTTACTGTTGTAAATGAATAAACAGTTTTCTGTTTATAAGTTTGTCCTCGTTTCAGGATTACATAAGATTCCCAACCGGGAACGTTAATTGCGTTGGGTGGACGTTGAGCTTCAAGACAGAATCCAAAATGTTTATCATATTGAAGGTCATTTTCATGTGGATATCGTTTGGTCAGTATATTGGTCGTGATGAAATTTCCGGTATAAAATTGAAATGAAGGCTCAGTGGTGGACATTGTAAGTTTTATCCCGGACGCTGGACAGGTAACATTTATCACTGGAACACATTGTGACCCACCCTGACCATCAGTTCCAGTGTAATTAGGTACAAGGTAACAATCATCATAACCACCATTAGTTAATTCAATTGACTGACCAATGGTTTTGGGTTGAGTAAAATCTAACCCATTAACTGAATTAACGTTCAAAATTTTACCATTAGCAGTTAGATCATCATCTTTATCCAAAACTTGATTACAATTTGTTTGGACAATATGATTAAGAATTGTTTTGTCATCTTTAAATGAAAATCCACTTAGATTAAAATAACTATGATTAGTTAAATTAATTATGGTTGATTGTATATCCTTTTCTTGATCATCATTGATCAATTTAGCTTCATAATTGAATGATAATTCATTTGATTGGGTGACAATATATTCAATTGTTACTTGAAGACTTCCAGGAAAACCATTATCACCATCAGGTGAAATTAATTGAAATTTAACTGAATTAGTTGATTGATTAACCATAATCCATGGTTTTTGACTGTAACCAATTTTACCTCCATGTAAAAGATTAGTACCTTTATTAGCAATCAATTTGTATTGTTTACCATCAAGATTAAATTGAGCATCTTTAATCCTTTAAATGATAGATCAACAAGTAGGTAACAATTAACTTTTCAATCAGAATTTAATGATTAAAAACAGACAATTTGATTACTTACCTTCCGGCAACTCGACCAACAACACAACCAAAATAAGCTAAATTGTTATCAACGTAATCAATTGGATTTGGTAAACCAAGGACAATATCTTGATGATCACCATTTTTATCAATAACAATTAAGTTTTTCAATGAAGCACCAACGTTGACAAATGTAGCTTTAATTGTCCCTTGTTGATTGGAAATGGTAAACTCATTGTTAATTGAATCACTCATTGTTAATTGTTTGAGTTGTTAATTAAACACAACACTTAGTCTGAATGGCAAATTGTTCAAATAAATTCACTATTAAACTATTAATTAAATGACGCTAATGATTTAATCTTTTAATCTCCTTCTCTCCTCCTCTTCCTTGGATCTCTGATTGTGTAACATCCTTTAAATTGTTAATCACTAATTAAACTGATTGGCTTGATGGGTTTGGTTGACAACAATCACTTTAAGGTGTAAATGTGAAAACAGTTTTACTAATTTTTTATTGAGTGTCAATACTGATGATTGATGATTTAATTGTTTTATTTAGATTTCTTTGTCTCTGATTGTATTGATTGTTGGCTGATTGGAAGATAACATTTCAACTTTCAGTTTTGGATAAGGTGTTGATGATTTGAAAGTAACAATTGAGCAATTAATTATTTTCACACTATTTCCAGGAGAGTATCTTTTCATACGATTAAAGTAAATTTGTTGCATGATGATGAGATTAATTAGTTAGATGCATTAAAATAAGTGAATTAAAAACAGAATAAAAGAACGAAACTTCACTTTGATTCATTGAAAATTATTGATTAAGATTATTAATCGACTTTTGAATTATACTGTGTGAGAGTTGATGAAATCTCTAACAATAGATGGAACCATTGGAAGGACTTTCTGAAACTCACTGAGAAGTTACAATCGAAATAACATTGTTCAGAACAATTTACTCAACGAAGATTCATTATCCTGATATTTTGACGAAAACGCTGAGAGCCACCAATACTTGAACATGGGCGTTAAACAGTAAAAACGGCTAGTGCCCTGGATCCTGAGTAGTATTAGGACTAGCATTTACATCGAAAATTAATCGATTCGCACTTGGCGAAAAATAGGAAAGGAAAGAAAGAGGAAAGCAGATGCTGTAACGTTAACAATACTAAATTTGGCTCCTGGATAAATAGATTGAACATGAACACGAGGTTGTTACATTGTTTTACATCCCGTGGCAATTATTTTTCCTGATTAAAATGTGAGAAGAGTCTGTAGACCATTTTTTATTACATCTGCATTGATTTTCTTCATTACATTGTTGAGGGAAATTTTTTGACCATAATCCCATAATGCCACAAGATTAGCTATTTTCATTTTGAATAAAAGAGATGATGAAATAATACCTAAGGATTATGAGAATGATTAGAGGGAGGAAAAGCAGCAACGTGTAGACTTGATCACTCATGATTTATAATTGGCCGATTAAATAAATTGTTACAAGTATTTAGACTTTTTAATAATTTTATTCTTATATTAGATCATTTTTGACCAGGAAAGATTCATATTTCTCTGAGAACTCTTTGCTCTTCATTAGCTTCATCAGCTCCAAAGCCGCTTTAACATGGCCAAATATCAATTCATCTGGGAGATTGTCATAATCTATTCGGTCAACAAGAAATTTTAAACGTCTGAATGTAACAAAAGAGACTTCAACAGTCCAATTAGAGATGGGCGATTATTCCGATTACCGATTAATTAATCGATTAGTTAGTGGCAACTAATCGTCGATTAACTATTTCAGTAATCGATTAGATAATTTCTCTTTCTTTTATGTCTTTTTCCTTTTCTATTTTACCTTTATTTTACTCTTTAAATTTCCCTCTCAATAGTTTCTCTTTCGCTAAATTTTTTCCTCTCTTTCGCACTTTCAACAATCGATTAATCGATTAGTTGGAATCTCACTAATTGCCCATCTCTAATCATAATTTCCATCTGGATGACTATGCGCCCATTCACTTATCTTTACTGTCAAATTTTCATTTTTAACAACATCAATACTTATATTGGCTTCTAGTCTACTTGCACCGTAATTAAACACAACTTGATCTGTCCACATTTTGATTCTGATGATCAACTAACAAAGACTAGTGCTTTTTATAGTTATTTTTATTGGTTCATTTAAATTGCATTTCAAGGTTATTGCTTACACCATCCCAGTTCATTGAACTTTCTAGAATGTTCTAGAGCGTTCCTTGATCCCCACCCCCATTTCCATTAACGCTTCTGGCTCAAAAGCGGAGGTTTTCATACTACTGAAGTGAACATTCTTCATCATGTTTATCATGATAACCACAGCTTTTTCCATCAATAGAGATACTAGTAGAAGTATCATCAAAACCAACTCTTCTTCTAAAGCGATTGTACGAAGGTATATCCCATAGTTGTGCATCTAGGCTGATCGTCTATCCAAATAGGCGATAACAGATTGTTCTCGTCAAGAGTTACCACACCTCTAGAACTAATGAAAGATCGTAACTAAACATCTCAAATTCGTTACGTTATTGAGAAAACTAATCACTTTAAATTGAGACATTGACGCTTATATTCATCATTTACCAGATTAACAAATTGATTAAGAAATTGTCAAGAAAACAATTTCATTAATTATCAATCATTATTTAGTTTTCATTCATTAAACTTTTGATCGGCGTCGAAAAGTGCGATGCACAGGATGTTACGTGTCAAGATATAAAAAGGAAAAGAAATGAATCGTTGCAATGACAACTTTAAATAGTTCATAGTATAATTAATGAGTCAATGCATAATAAAGTATTGAATTCAAGAGAATATGAAGTCAAGGTCACACAATAATGGTGAATTTTGGTAAATTTTCTATTATGACATTTTCGCTAGTACAATTACGGGTAAAAAAAATTGTTTTTTGACGTACTCTATTAGAATTGTGACCTTATTTTAAGTTTTACGAAAGTCGATTTTGGGCGAAACATACCTCTTTTACATAGACAAAAAATGAGAAGAAAATCTTATCATTTTATCATTGACATTTTATTTGTTACAGGTTTCCAAACACCATTGGACATCGATTGTTAAATTTCATAATGAGATGCTCAATGATAAAGACGCAAAAAGCTAGAAAATTAAGTGATACAAAAAGAAACAGAAAATCAACGAAATTAGAATAGTTAATTGGTCGATATGAACTTTGAGGGTTGGTATTCAGCTTTTCAAAGCGCCAACATTGTGGATAATATTTTTTTATCAAAGGACCATGAATCTTGCTAACTGCTCGTTCCTCAGTAGCATAAAAATATCCTTGTTCGAGGATTGCGTATAAACATTTAATAATCCAACGTTTCTTATAAGGATTCTTGGTGCTGTAAATTAATGCATAAAGCTCTTCATAATAGTAACGTGTTCCAGTTTGGTAGAGAAAATTATTTACCGCGTTACCATTAATCTTTGCTAAACAAAACCGTAGCACCATTGTTGATAAATCAGAGTATTCAGTAAAATGTGATAAAATTGGTTTATCAAGATTTTGGGAAAAATATTGGATGAATGTGTTTTCAACCGAAATGAGTGGGTCTGATGAGCCATATGTTTCATACACTCGCCTCTGGCAGCTCTGTTCATATATAACAGTGCAATTAACTCTGGGGTGAGAATACAAGTCAGACCATTTATTAAGTGGTGGTGGTCGGAGGGATATCGAGTATTGAGTCGTGAACGATGTTGAAAATAGATGGAAAATGTAGTGACCAGAAATTAAACAAGAAAGAAACAAGAGTAGACCAAATTTACTTTTCATCAACAATAGAAACTTTTGGAGTCGAAGTTGTTCAGTATTTCCATTTCCAGCTGCATTTATCGAATATGATCTTATGAAATATATCACCAAACCAAGAATAACCAACAACGAGATGAGCAGGTAAACAGAATAATCGATGATTTCAAATGCAGATAGAATTCCTTTGTCAATTGAAGGGGTCGAAGAATTTGGATAAAAGTTAATGAAGACACAATAGTCACTCATTATTATTGGATTTATGGATAGATTTTTCAATCCAAAGTCAAAACGACGTATATTTTCATAAAGATACAGCAAGTCATAATCTCCTAACGAGAAAACATATTGGTAACTTTCATTTTTACGGCTCTCAGGAAAAAATATAAATTCTATTGGAACGTTGCCTAAAAGATTAGACATAATGAAAAACATAGCTCTCCGATTAAAATTCGGGCCCGGGTCATACATAGCGAAGAAGACTTTAAAAGGATCTTGTGTGAAATTCATTCTATCTGAACTTCGAAATCAAAATTTTAAGCTTCAATATTAAAAGTAAAGAATAAGATAAAATGATTGAAAAGTTTTAGGTTCTCTCCAAAGATTTTTGTCCAAATTCATTTTCTATCATTTATACTAATCGAATTGACATCCCAACTTTCGTTATGATTTTACGATTAAATGCTTTTAAAATGATTAATTTTAGAACGTGCTATCAACAATCGATAGTTAATAGACACAGTTTCATTAGCAAAGATTGTCAGGTCTTTTACAGGGAGTTTCTAATCTAGTACTTCTATTTAACTGAATATCTCTCGAGAAGTGAAAGACAATAAAGGTCGTTTGAGTGTCTTTGTATTTTAAAGGAACGTGTCAACTTTTCTCTATAAGGCAAATGCACTCTCACACTTTTCTTTCCCACTCTGGTCATCATCTTTTCCTTATTGGACTCTCTCCCTTATACAGCCAAAGACTTTGAGTTTGCGACCACTTTTTTAATCATTCACGTAGTTGAATCGAATCAATGAGAGATAAAGTTAACCCAGAGATATGATGATAAGTCTGTCCACTAATTTAAGTAGTGTAGTCTTAAAATGGTCAACTGATTAGGTATGAAAAGTTATCTTTATTGTATTATCATATACAGTCGTGAAAAATGAGTTTCGAATGGTTTTTAATCATTCGCGCAGGTAGCGACTAAAATTAATAGATTAAACAATCAAGATAAGAAAAATCAATGAGTAAATCATCTAAGTCTTATCATTGATGATAAAGATTATCAATTAATTTTAGTAGCTAAGTTGCGCGAATGATTAAAAACCATTCGAAACTCATTTTTCACGACTGTACTACGCGAATGATTAAGAAAGTGGTTGCAAACTCGAAATCTTTGGCTGTATTTCGTCTGTTAATTATCGTATTGTTAATCGCACAACATCAAGTTAAAGTACTTTTTGTTAAACTTTTTTTTATAAGAGAGATGAAAGTGTTACAGCCGCTTTAAATGGTGTAAGAAGTGCTTATAAAAACATAAAATTACCAACTGAGTCAACAATGCATCGGTGTACTTTAACTTTTTGATTTAATTTAATTTCTTTTATTCTTTATTATTCAAAAATTCGAGAAATTTGGATCTTTGGATGACCGTCGAGCTGGAAGTGTAGAGAGACCTGAAGAGACTGTACACCAATATTTCTGCTAGAACACATAAAAAACAGTGTTTTGTCTAACCAATAGAACAATATATGAACTATACCTGTACCAAGTTTCATGTCTTTATCTATCACCGTTCTCGAAATACTATCGAAAAACAATTTATTAATAAGTTTCGACAGAAATTGTGGTCAAACGAGATACTTAGAGAAGTTTTGATTGGACAAAACATTGTTTTTTGACGTGTTCTATCAGAATTCCTTATTTTAGGTTTAACTAAAGTCGATTTTTGGTGATATTACATACCCCTTTTGTTGGACAATAGATGGATAAAAAATGAGAAGAAAATCTTATCATTCTATTATTGACAACATTTTGCTTGTTAAAGGTTTACAAACACCATTGGACATCTATTGTTGAATTTCATAATGAGATGTTCAATGATAAAGACACAAAAAGCTAGAAAATTAAGTGATACAAAA